CAGGAGATGGATCCCAAAATCCCGCTGGGATCCCCAAAAGAACAGGGGCAGATCCTGGATGGGAGCAGATCCCAAAATCTGGGGCAGGGACAGGTCCCGGATGGGAGCAGATCCCAAAATACAGAACAGGGACAGGTCCCGGATGGGAGCAGATCCCAAAATCCCGCTGGGATCCTTGGGGTGAATTCCCTGGGATTGGGGTGAATTCCCTGGGTTTGGGGTGAATTATCCTGGGATTCAGTGCCTGAGTGGGGAGGGATCCTGGCGGGATTCCAGAAGCTTCCCTGGGCAGAAGGAATGCCAGGAACAGGGGGAGATCCCACCAGGAGATGGATCCCAAAATCCCGCTGGGATCCCCAAAAGAACAGGGGCAGATCCTGGAGGGGAGCAGATCCCAAAATCTGGGGCAGGGGCAGGTCCCGGATGGGAGCAGATCCCAAAATCCCGCTGGGATCCCCACGAGAACACGGACGGATCCCCGATGCTGCTGCACGGAGCACGCTGTGGGATCCCCGTCCCACCGCGGACCCATCGATCCCACATCCCCCCAGGGGATCCCCTGGGTGAGTTTGGGGTGAAAACACCGACATTCGGCTGTCCGTGGCGCCCGCAGCATCCCCAGGATCCTCCCCGGGCGGGACTTTCCCAACCCCACACATCCCCCCCGGCCCAAAACCCCCCGATCTTGCCCCAAAACGGCGCTCGGGGATTGCCGGCATGGCCCGGGGCGGGCAGCGCTCATCGCGGCGATTACCGAAATCGCGGTGATTAACCCCAATCCGCGACAGGCCGCGATGGCCGCGCCCCGCCCGTCTGGACACCCCCGAAGGCGGCGGCGCTGACCACGCGCGGTGCCTAGGCCCCGGAGCGGGGCACCGGCAGCGGCCACGGCACCGGCACCGCCGGCACCGGCAGCACCGGGAGCACTGGGAGCACTGGGAGCACTGGGACGGAGCGCTGGGAATACTGGGAGCACTGGGACGGAGTGCTGAGGTGTCCAGCAACACCGACTAGAGCAGCTCCACGCCACGCCAGGAGAACTGGAAGCACCGTGAGCACCGGGAGCACTGGGAGCACTGGGAACACCGGGAGCACCGGGAGCACTGGGAGCACTGGGAGCACTGGGAACACCAGGAGCACTGGGACGGAGTGCTGTGGTGTCCAGCAACACCAGCCGGAGCAGCTCCACGCCACGCCAGGAGAACTGGAAGCACCGGGAGCACCGGGAGCACCGGGAGCACCGGGAGCACTGGGAGCACTGGGAACACCGGGAGCACCGGGAGCACTGGGAGCACTGGGAGCACTGGGAACACCGGGAGCACCGGGAGCACTGGGAGCACCGGGAGCACCGGGAGCACTGGGAGCACTGGGAGCACTGGGAACACCGGGAGCACTGGGAGGCGTGGCTGGCGTGTCCAGCTCCACGCCACCAGCGACACTGGCCGGAGCAGCCCCACGCCGCGGCAGAACTGGCGACACCAGAAACATCTGGAAGAAGGAGCCACATGCGGCCACGCGCCATGCGGGGACCGCCGGTGACACCACGCCACCAGCGACACTGGCCGGAGCAGCCCCACGCCGCGGCAGAACTGGCGACACCAGAAACATCTGGAAGAAGGAGCCACATGCGGCCACGCGCCATGCGGGGACCGCCGGTGACACCAGAGGTGGCATGAGAGGCGACACAAGAGGCGACACAAGAGGTGACACCACCAGAGGTGACACCAGAGGTGACACCAGAGGTGACACGAGAGGCGGCACAAGAGGTGACACCAGAGGTGACACCAGAGGCGGCACAAGAGGTGACCCCAGAGGTGACCCCAGAGGTGACCCCAGAGGTGACACCAGAGGTGACACGAGAGGCGGCCACGCCACGGCAGAAGCGCCGCAGCCTCGCCGGGGAGGCGCGAGGACGCCGCGGTGTCCCCTGCCATGCCGTGCTGGTGGCACCGGGGTGGCCGTCGCGCCGCCACGCCTGGAGACCACGGGACACTTCGACATGTGGCGGGACTACCTGGGGCTGGCGGCCGTGCTGCTGCGTGAGCCTGCGGGCCTCGGGGACATCTCGGTGTCGCTGGGAGCTCTGGCTCCG